GCCGCCTGCCGCCTCACCGCCGCCTGGGTGGACCTGGGACCCGTCTTCTGGCCCCGCTGGGTGCGCCACACCACGTGCGAGACCGGGTCCCCCGGCTGCTCCTGGCCCCCCGGCATGAGCTGCCGGCCCGCACAGCTCACCCGCATCAAGCTGCTGGCCTGGCACTGCTGGAGCCCGCAGCACCCCGGGCCCCCAAACTGCACCTGGCGGCAGATCCCCTACCCCGTCGTGGCCGCCTGCAAGTGCTCCTGCCGCTGAGGGGGCTCCGGAGGTGCCTCCCGGTGCCTGTTCTTGCGGCCAAAAGGCTTGAGAAAAGGCAAACGTCCGCCTGGACTCACCCTCGGAGCTGGGGGAAAACCCCCCAGAGAGAAATAAACCTCCAGGAAGGAAGTGGGGATGGCTGTGGTTTTTGCTCTGTGTCTCCCTGCCGAAACCCCTGGGTGGGGGGGGTGCAGCTGCTTTGCCCCTCAGCCGCCGTGAGGCATTGGCACCAGCGGAGGCCCTTGTGCAGCGCTCATCTCCAGCAAAGGATGAGGGATGGAGAAACGATGGCACTGAACAGCAGGTTCTGTCTGCACCAGGACTTTCTCAGTCCGAGCTGGGGCATCCCTGCCTGCCTGGGTGGGGCTGCAGGCAGGGAAACAGGGCAAGGGAACTCCAGCAGAGAAAGGGTAGAGGGGGGTCACTGCTTGGGGTGGAAACAGCAGTGTGGAGAGGGGCCGGAGTGAATCAGTGGGGTAGTTTGGGACTGAAACAAGGCAGCCTAGTGAGGGTAGAAAAAGTGGGGGGTGGGCCATGACCCAGGGCTGGAAGCATTTTTGGGGCTAAGTGTGTATGAAAATGGGATGGGATAGGATAGTCCCCTACTCTGAGGTAAAATGGGTGAAATACATGGATCCCTCAGTGCTGAGGATGACAGCTCCAGACTCAGGACAACCTGAGCAGCACACAGGGTATGGGGTAGGTCAGGGAGCCCAGGGTGGGAACTGCATCCTCAAAAACTGGCATCTGCCTCTATGTTCCACTCAGCAAAACATCCTCTGCTTTCTGGGCTAAAAGCTGCCTAGAGCTGTAGATCAGACCTAGGCTGGAAGGCCTTGAAACAATAAAGAGAAGGAGGATTTGCCTCAATTAAATACTAACATGATGCCTACAAGTCAATGAGTACAGCATTATTCATCACCAGTGTGCCATCATCTGACCCTCCTGCCTTCCCAGGACTCCAGCACTCCACAGTCTGTTCCCCAGACAGCTCCAGAGTCTGCTGCTGAGCTTGGCCTTGAAGCAAGGAGAGTGCAGGGAGCTGGCTGCAGAGGGACCCGAGGGGTACAGAGGTGAGAGGGTCAGTGCGTGTGGTGAGAAGGGGAGCAGAAGGGCGAGCACACATGCACATGCAGAAACTATTGTGAGCATCACAGGTGGGAGGCTGCTGCTGCTGCTCTGGCCTGCAGCTGAGCAGAGAGACATCTGTAGGGCTGCTCTGCCAATGAGGAGGACTTGAAGGCTGGAGCAGGGTTAAACTGCTTGGGTTGTCCACCCTGAGTGGAGCAGAGGCACCAGCAGGGATGCCTGCAGAAGGTGAGGGGAGAGGGGGAGACCAGGGATGGGGACCAGCAGGAGAGAAATGTGAGGGAAGGTGGCACAGGTGTGCAATGGAGGTGTGCAGGTAGGGGGAGCAAGGGGTGCAAGTGCATTGGGCTCAAACCAGCAGTGATTCAGTTTAGAGTCTCAACCTCCCTGTACCTGAGCTAATCTGTCTGAACTTTCACCTCTTCCAGGCTGCAGAAGGGCCTGAGAGCAATCTCCCTGCTCTCCCCACTACATCCCCCATGCCAAAACACTGCCTGTTGAAAGGGGTTTGCAGCACTGCGAGGGCCCAGTAGCACAGAAAGGGAAGTCCGTATCATAGTTTATCAGCAGGCTGAGTTCAGGGCCTGTGGAGATGGAAAATTAAACAAAATCAGCACAGTTACACTACCAGCTGTTCTAGCAGGGTTTGGTCGCAGTCCTATTGAACCTACAGAACATATTTCTCCCCTGCCCTTTGCATCCTTGCACAGCCCTACAATCCTGGATTCTCCTGCAGTCGCTCTGGCTCAGGTCAGACACTACTGCCCTGTAGTGTGCTCCCTGCCAGCCTAGTGACACATTAGGACTTCAGAGCAGGTCTTTGCTGATATGACCCAGTGCTCCAGCAACCAGGCACAGCACACTGCATTTCAGCTAGAATCTGTGCCTGGCTGCAGCTACTCATTCAGCACATGGGCAGCTGCCAGGACATACAATTTCCTGTCTGGAGCAAAACTGATGCAAACACAGCAATCCTATGAGATGCCCAGGTCCCACTTGTGCCTTTTTGAATGCTGAAATCCTACAGCACAGCTTGGAGGAACAAATCCAGAGATTCCTGCCACATGGAAGAAAATTAAAGGTTTCCATCACCCGCTCTGCTCCTGGCCTGGGCCTCAGTCAGATGCAGATCCTCTCACCATGCTGCTGGCCTCCGCCACCTCAGCTTGCCTTTGCCTGATGGCCTTCTCTGGGGCAAGATGTCTTTACCAGGGCAGGTTTGGGACCACTGAAGCAATTGGGAAAGCATTATAGCTGGGGACCAAGCTGAGAGTGAGGAGAGAAAGGAGCACCGGAGCTTTGGCTAGCCCATGTCCTCTTTCCCTAACCAACTGCTGGTGGCACAAGTTGCAAAGAGCTTGGGAAACACCCCTGCCTCAGTGGGGAATTGCAGCAGTCAGATCTGCCAGGGTGATGCTGCTGGACCCACAGGACAGCACAGAAGAAGCAGGCAACCTCAGGCACATCAGCAATGCTGTATTTCCATCAGCAGGACCTGCAGCACTTCAGCATCTGGACCGAGGCTTCAGGGAAGACATAGCAGAGTGTCTGGAAACAGCATGAGAGGATGGGGATGGGGTGCAGCTCCTGGAGGAGGAAACAGGAGGCAGACAAATATCCGCTGCACTGCAGGACACCTTTAATGACACTTTTAAGCGCTGGTTGCCAGTGCTACTGCCAGCACCCTGACTCAGGTGATGCAGGCTGTGATGCCTTGAGGAACGGTCCTGCTTTCGGCAATGTGCTGCTCAAGCCTTTTTCCCCATCAGAGGCACTTAGTTGTGGGCAGGGATGGTGCTGAAGAGGTGTTTTCTGGCCCCTCAAGACAGCGCTCCGTGCTTCCGTCCCACCTCGGTGAAGGCTTCCACGCAGCGGTCGATGTCCTCGTCGCTGTGCACGGCCGAGATCTGGACCCGAATGCGCGCCTTCCCCTTGGGCACCACGGGGTAGCTGAAGCCAATGACATAAATGCCTGGGGAGGGAATGCAGGCAGAGTCAGAGCTGGCTCTGATGGGATGGGATGGAGGCAGGCTGAGGTGTGCTGGCTGATAGAAAGGTTTCCCTCCCAGTAACCACTTCCAGCCTTCAGGGTTTTTGAGTGCCACCTGCTCCCAAGCATAGAGGTGAGGTTAGGGGCCAGCAATGGGGATGGAGTCCAGCATAGCAGGACAAGAGCACTAATGTAAATCTCCTTCCTAACTGAGAAAGAAGGTATAGCCAGCAACATCTGGGGGAGACCATGAGGACGTTTGCAGCTGGAGGGTGGAAGAGTAGTGGATTTCATGCAGGAACATCCTCTGAAGGGAGGGCTTGTGGTGGCACCACCACCAACTGTCCCTTTCCTCAGGGAATGTGTCTGCACACTGAGCTCCCTCCCCGGATCACCTCTGTTGAGCATGTCCTCTGCCATCACTGACGCCAGCCGAGCGTCCCCCAGCATGACTGGACAGATGGGATGGTCTTTCCCCGAGATGGTGAAGCCAGCTGCCGTCATCTTACTTCTGAACCTGGTGAAGGGAACAACAGGATGAGTAAAAACCTCAACAACCCTGTCATTGGAGACCGTTGCATTCTTTCCCCTGGCCACTGAGAACTGGGTAGGGTTTGCTGCACTGTTCATCTGTGCAGGGAAGAGATCTCTCCCCTTGAAGTGACCTGCTACCATGTCCTGCTCAGCATAACGGGACTGCAGATCCTTGAGTGGACAATGTGCCCCAGCTCACGGAGCACCCAGATGTGACACATCTGCCCGACACAGACAGGCACATCCTGCAGCTTCCCCTGAGCCCTGACTTGCAAACTGTCTTCCCAGCTATCACCGGGAAAACGGGGGTGAATAAATCACAGACAACTCACTCCTGACAAAGCTGCCCCCGCTCCCACCCCAATATGGCCCCCTCACCGTTGGGTTTTGGCAGCCATAGACTGTGCAATGGCATTGCTCTCCATGAGCAGGTCCAGGGCCTTGGATGCACAGCCCACCACGGCAGGGGGCAAGCTGTTGGAGAAGAGGTACGGGCGGGAACGCTGGCGGAGCAAATCGATGAGGGGTTTGGGACCTGTTGTGTACCCGCCTGCAGACAGAGGAGAGAGAATTGGACAAGGAACTCCAGGTTCCCCTGTTTAGAGTGAGGCTTCTTGATAAAGCCAACCTGGCACCTATAGCAGGAATTTAGGTACAAACCAAGTCTAAAAATCGCAGCTGATGCTTTTGACCAAGAGTTTCTACCTTGAACCCAAAGGCAAATGCATGAGAAGGATGACAGTGTAAGGAGCACACGTCAGGATCTCCCTTAATCCTGCAGCAACATCACAAACCAAGCCTCATGCCACCAGTGGAAAACAATAACATGCATTTGTTACTCTATCATTAGGCAGAGGAAGGAAACATAAGACTGA